AAAAGGTTCCGGAACACAGGTGGGCCAAAATGAAGAGGTGCCAGGATCTGTTCCGGCAGGATCCGGCTCAAATTAATCACTGGGATAACCTTATCATGCAAGCACTTCACCTACATGAGACTTCTAATAGATGTGTCCGCCCTGGGCGGGCCTAACCTGAATGCGAGCAATCTCAACCGTATAAATAGGAGGCTCGCGCTCCACTGACGGACCATCCCTTTCTCTTCAGCGAGCGGAAGTGATATCACGTGAGACATAGACCGTGAATAAGAGAAAGAGAAATAAAGCATGGGACTCACCACTTCTTGATCACCCGACCTGCCCGACATGCACCTGGCCCTGATCGCGGGCTGATTCCCCCCCCCCTGCACCGCCTGTGCTTCTAGTGCCTGGGGCCGGACCACGCTGTCTTGGGGGGAAGACGGCCTAAACCCATCACCGCCTTGCAACGCCTGCGAATGATCCCTCCGCTTAAGCTGCAGACATCGCAGGAGCATTTTCGGGGAAGGTTCGGCCCCGCAAGAGGAGCCGAGGACAAGACCTCGAGTGGTGGAGATGGGGAAACAGATGACGAGTGCGCATTCATTTCACCTCCGAGGGGCCAAGGGGCCGCGTTCCCGAGGAGGAAAAGACGACGAGTACGTTTGTTCCGGTACTTTCGGGCCGCAGCCAGGAGGTCCAGCACATCAGGTCTGCGCGTCTGAGCTTCCCGGTGTTGAATACCCTAGCGCGAGCGTGTGGCGCTAACCGCTCGCCTCCACCGCGGCCATCGAGGCCAGTTTTATCGGCCCGGTGCAATCATGCGTGGCCCGCAGTCTGAGTGACTTGTCCCCTAACACAATGTTATGGGGAATGGAAACTCAGCTGTTGTGTTAACAAAGTGGATGGACAGGAGTCAGATGCTGAAACGGGGTTATTTGCACTCCAGTTTTGCAGCATCCCACCTCCATTCGAAGGCATGCGAGAGGAAAATTATCATCCCGAGGAGATGGGTTTCCTTGCAGGCAGAGATTCAAGACCCTGTGCAAAAACAGGCGGTGCTATGTGCACCCTCAGCCAGAGAAAAGGGTCTTTATTCATGTACTTCTGGTTCTCAGGAAGACAGGGAATTCAAGACCTATTCGAGACGCTGCAGCCTGAATCGGAACATTGCCTGCCAAAAAATCCGCATGTTAACTTATAAAACAGTTAAATGGGGCTAGTGGAACCGGGCGATTGGTTCACCACCGATCGAACTGAAGACGCATACTTTCATGTGGGAAATTGCTCCAGAGCACAGAAAAGTATCTGCGTTTTGCCTTCCAGGGGATAGCCTACGAGTACCAAAGATTACCGTTCGGCTCTCCTATCCCCACGCACGTCAAGCAAATGTGTGAACACTTGCGCTCCCAGCCGCTGCGCGTCCACGCGGGTGACCTCCTACATCAAGTGTTCACAGGACCCTCCAGAACAGGATGAGGGAGGACGTGCCTGGAAGAGGGCTATAGGGGCGCTGGTCCCTACAGAACACGCACAGCAACCCCTAGAGCAGGGTGCCCAACCTTTTTTGAACGAGAGCGTACTTTTAAAGTTGCCAGTCTGCCCGAAGTCTACGCAGTCCAAATGAGAGGCGTACCATTACTGACAGCTTACTACCGGGTAAATGATACACACTTCTACTTGTATAAAAAGCATAAGATACTGCAAGATCCTTTATCTTACCTCTTTCTAACTACACGACATATAAGTATTGAACGAAGCTAACACCAACAGTGTTTGTACAGAGTTGATTATTCACCACGTCACATACTACCAGTGGGTAATATTTCAAGAAACTTGAACAGTGCTGCCACATATGGACACAGGAGAAAAAAGAAAAGATCTGAACCCTTTCTTGCCATTATATAAAAATATTTAGGTGCTACAAAAGTATAAAAGGAAACCGCAGTGACGCATCCTAAAACCCAGAAGTAACCCTTCCGTTCCTTCGCAAAACGCAATGCAGTTTCTCCATAAGGATTTTGGAAAATAGCCGAAATAGGTGTTTGACACACATTTAAGAGACGGATCATGTTGTTCAGCCGATGAATACACATGCTACCCTACTTTATAATTTCTAACATAAATCAGTCGCAAAAGCAAAATGCCTAACGTTATTCTAT